TGCAGGCTAGAATTTTCACCTTCAGATTGGAGCTATTTTTGTTGTATCAGTGAAAAAGCCTAAGTAACAAACAGCCAGCTAAGAGCAGAGAAGCATAATTTCCACCGTCAAATTAAAAAAGGTTTAGTCAGACATGACAAAAAGCGTTTTATGTGAGCTTCATGAACATGTTCAGAAGAAAGGATGGATTTTCAACAGACTGAAAAGGGTCACATTAGAAACAAATGTAATGAAGCTTTACTGCTCTGGTACATCCTGAAGGGATTTTTCATGTTGCTGGGGTAGAGAGCAGTGCTTCTCTTGAAGCATTTCCCTAGACAGCCTCAGGAAATCAAGCTGTGACACACATCTGGATAGCTCTGTACACAAATGGCATCGCATTTAGAGATGGAGTTGGCACTGGAAAAACCGTAGTCCATGCACCATTACACATTTCTTCAAATTCTCGGTTCAACAAGGACCATAAGTGGACTGAACAGCTTTGTCAGCAAGTGAATATTTTTCCATGCCACAGAGCATCAGACAAAAATCCGTACCTGGAGAACCATCTACATGACAGTTGGCTAATATTTTACCATTTTGAAAAAGATGTTAAATTACAGATCTTCAAAAAAGCACAGTAGGAAATGTGAAACATAGTAGCATGGCACGATCTACTGTTTGCACTAAAATAATAGGTGTGGAAGATTAATACATTCAGAGAAATTGGAAATTTCTCTTTCAGCTTAAAAATTCATCAGACTGGAAGTATTTAAGCAGCTGAAAGGGTTATTCATACAAATTAGATGTTGCTTTAAATTAGATGTTGTTTATCCCTAAAGGAAGAAAAGGTTTCATAACTTTGTGGAAGAAGCTGTATTGCTCCAAGGCTGCAATACACATCTTTTTCAGTCTGTTTTGTGAGAGGAGTTCTAATTGACAGTGGGATGGGACTCCAGCTTGCTTTATGGAAGGCTGATTTAAGTGCTCTAGGTTATGTGGTGTTGCAGTTAGATAAGGCTGCTCCTTGCAGGAAGCCAAAGTTCACAGAGTTCTAGGGTTGCTTCAAGTCAACAATTTTTTTACAAGTTGGGGAAAATCTGTTCGTTAAAATAGAAATATTATTTCCACTGAAACACAGGAGGACAAGATAGTTAGAAGCTGTCTTCCTGTTTGTGAGGTCTTTTTCTGGGCTTTTCAGAGTTGGAAAGGAAAAAAAAGTCATTTGTTCTTGGCTACCTTTCTGGGGCCACACACATACTCTGCATGTCCGGCTGCCTGCTTGGTTTGTCTTCCTTTCCACCCACAAGCTAATGCAAAGCTTCAACCAAATCAGTGCCCCATTTCCTGGTTTTGCAACCAATTTCCAGTGAAATCCCTCTAGCCACATGGCTGAGCTTCCAATCCAGCCTTCCTATATTGTGTTGCACCTTGGGCGGTGGCTTGTCTTGTTTCAATTACCACTAAATAAATGAGGCTTTAATTCCTCTTTCATTTCATCTAAAAGAAAGATGATCAGCATGCCCTTCCACTTCAGTGTGGTCTGGGATTGTTCAGACTTCACACTTGCAGGCAGCCACCAGTTCTGTCCAAAAATACAATATGCCTCCTGCATATTCACGACAACCAGACCAAGGACAGATGTTTCTCTGGTTTTACTGCACTTTTGGCCTTGGCTGATGAGCCATTATAAGGCAGAATGGCCATTCTGCAATACTGCCATCTCCTTCTCTTTGACATAGCTTTCCAATTGAAAATCATCTAATTTGTTTTAATTTGAAACACGGGAGTGTATGTATTCCATCCCAAACTTTGAACAGAAGTATTTTCATTTCAAACTAAAGAATATGCATACTTGGCAGCACGAACTGGGAGATCCATGTGGACTTGTTTAATTTTTCAGATTAACTCAGAAATAAATTTGATGGCAATGGATGAAAAAAATACTCTTTATTTTACAAGCATAATATGGTTTTAATATGCTGGCATGTTGTTAATGATGCGTAACATATTTCCGTTCATCAAAGTCAGAAAATGGAATTGCAGTGGAGCCATTTGCTGCTTTCGCATTGAGAAGCAGGAAGAATGTGCTCTGTGTGGTATCTGAATTACTCACAGAATCACAGAATGGCTGGGGTTGGAAAGGACCTCTGGAGGTCATCTTGTCCAACCCCCCTGCTCAAGCAGGGACACCTACAGCAGATTGCCCAAGGCCCTGTCCAGATGGCTTTTAAATATTTTCAAGGAGGGAGACTCCACAACCTCTCTGGGTAACCTGTGCCAGTGTTTGACTGCCATCACTGTAAAAAATGTGGGGATTTTTGTGTTCAGATGGAATTCTTTGTGATTTAATTTGTGCTAGCTGCCTCTTGTCCTGGCACTGAGAATCACTGAAGAGAGCCTGGCTGTCTCATCTTTGTTCCTTCCCATCAGGTATTGGCATACATATGCAAGATGCCCCTTCTCTTCACCAGACTGAGCAGTCCCAGCTCTCTGAGCCTCTCCTCCCACCCCAGAAACTCAGATGCATTAATGATCTTTAGGGCCATTGGCTGGACCTCTCTGCAGTATGTCTGCATCTCTCCCGTGCTGGGGAGCCCAGAGTTGGACCCAGCACTCCAGCTGTGGCCTCACCAGTGCTGAGCAGAGGGGAAGGATCACTGCCCTTGACCTGCTGGCTACACTCCTCATCGTGCAGCCCAGGGTGCCACTGACCATCTTTCCAGCAAGGGCCAAGTGCTGCAATGAAGGTCACAATGCTGGCTGGTGATCAGCTGCTCATACATCAGAACCTCCAGGCCCATCACTGCTGACCCAGCTGATTAACCCCCAGCCTATACTGGTTCTTGGGGTTGATCCTCTCTAGTTACAACACTTTACATGTCCTTTTTACTGAAATGCATGAGATTCTTACCTGCCCTTTTCCCCATCCTGTCAAGGTCCCTCTGTATGGTGACACAACCTCGTGGTGTATCTTCCACTCCTCCCGATTTTGTCTGATCTGCACTATTGTATTCTGCCCCATCATCCCAAACATTAATGAAGATGTTACAAGGTACTGGCCCCCAACATTGAGCCCTTGTGTGCACTGCTTGGGACTTGTCCTCAACTGGACCTACTGCCATTGACCACAACACTCTGTACCTGGCCATTCAGAGAGTTTTCAGTTCACCTCACTGTCCTTTTACCTAATGTATATATTGACAGCTTATTTATGAGGGTCTTACAGGAAATGGTGTCAAATGCCTTTCTTACCTTGAAATGTTTCAGGGTAAACAATGTCCACTGATCTCCCTTCATCCACTGAGCAGGTCACCTCATTGCAAAAGCATGTCAGTCCACTTAAAATGTCAAATAACGTATTTCTTGCTATTCTTTTTAGGGGTCAAGCTACAGAGGCTGAAAAGCAGCATTTCATGACATTATGACAAGATCATAATTCACAATAGTTTATTTAAACTCTTTTCTGTACAATTTGATAGCATGCACTACAGGTTGTTATTATTATACAATTAATTGAAATTATTCACTAAATGACAAGACAATCAATAAATAAAACTCAAGAGACATAGAAATGGTTTTTTAATTTGCAATTTTTTAAAAAAATGACATTTTCTTATCGGTAGTGAAAAATTGCTCTTCTGACATGGGCAAAGAATGATGCTAAAGTAAATTCCTTTCACTGAATGAAAATATGGTGTGGGTTGAATTTAAAATTTTAAACAGCATGATGTGGACATGCAATTATAGTCATAGCTAGCTATAAACGACCAGTTAGATCATCTGGTCAAGTCCCTAGAGAATGCTAAATTGAATTTTGCATGCGGTTTTTATTTGTTTAGGCAGTCTGGACACCTTCAGTACATGTGATAAATAAATTTTTAAATAAAAGTTATTTTGTGGTGTCTCAGAAGCCTGGAGAGAGAAAAACAAAGAGAGAAAGAGAGAGAAAGAGAAGTATCACTTCAAACTACTCACTGTTGATACATCAGGTTAGTCTCATTTCAGCTTTACAAGAAAAAGCTGACAAGCTTGAAAGGAGGCCTCACTGCACAAAGAAATCGATGGTAAAGTGCACATTGATTTCAATAAATCTCTTTCAGTCACCAAACCGTATATTAGCTGGGGAAGGGATGCTGCCTCTTCCTGTCTTTTTGTCTTTAAACATCATGTGCACTGATGATGGTATAAAAATAAAGCTGGGGATAGCTCTAATCTCAGGTAATAGTGGTCTCCAATTTGAAAGCAATCCTCCGGGACTGGCAAATTATAGCAAACGCTGCCCTGGTCTCTCTAACAAACCCCAATTTAAAATGACCAGGCAGGGACAAAGCTGCTACTGTGGTGTAGAGTTTCCTTTACTGGAAACAGAGCATTTAAACAAGTGCTCTTGGATTTTGCAGTAAGCAGGTGAGTTGTCACACCAGGATACTTTTCAGGAACATGTTGCCATGGCACAGCAGTGCCATGGTGGACTGGTGCCATAGTGAAAGGTCTGCAGGATGGCCCTGGGGCCAGAGGACGCCCACAGCCCGTGCTGCAGGCTGATGTGTCAGGGTGTGATGGTGGGGAAACAGAGACTATTCAGGAAGGTCTTTCTGCAAAGAAAACACCATCTGCATGGTATATTACTGTAGTATTCATTACCACGTTTATGTGAACCTAAACTTGATTGCAAATCTGCACCTCTGGCCTCACCCTCAGAGCATAGATCTCAGGAAAATGTTGGACTCTTCCTGCAGAGTATGAAGTTCAGCTCAGCCACCAGCCCCTCTCCCACCACTTGATCTCCTGGAAGTGTGTTAATAAGCAGTTACAGATGAAGCATTATTACTTGGGTTCATTTAAAGCAAAAAACCCACCACGACCAGGCAAATAATACAGAGGGCCCATAGACGTTTGGATATATGAGGCCAGCCCACACTAGGAACTGCTGAAATGCGTGGAAATAATGATACTCTCTGGTGTAAATGGCTCTTTAGAGTGATGCTGCAAATTCTTCCCTTCATTCATCACCCTGTGCTCACCTGCTCTGTGCTATCCTGAGCCAACCCCCTGGGATATCCCGTGTTCATATCATGGCCAGAGATGAACGTTCTCTCTGTTGCAAGGTTTCAACTTTTTATCACCTATTACCACGAGTTGTCATGTCAGGTTACTGTAAATCAGATTAACATTCTTCTAATGCAGACTTTGCAGGGAATACTTGGCAGGGGAGTTTCAGAAAGGGGTGCTTAGAATGGTAATTTTAGTAAGGAGAGATTTCTACACAATGTGCTAAAAGTATTAACCACAATATAAGAAAAAAAATGCCTTAGAGCTGCTACATCCCATTAAGCAACGATGAAACAAATGTATGTAAGCCACCTCCTGAAACGTGGCTTTGGAAATAGGAGCAGAAAACACCAGAGGAGGGTCAGCGTGATTTATTTCTGTTTTACCTGCCCCAGAACACCCTCATTTCCTGATGAACACAATGACTTGGCACAACTTGAAGCCTAGCAAGTCAGATTTCTCTCAGCAGACATCCTGATCACTCCGATAGATATTTTAGGAACTCGCCATTAGTTCCTTTAATTAATGCCTCTCCGACAGGGACTGGCGCGGCCTTTTCCCACATCAGCGGAACAAAATACACTTCAGCCATTTTGTCCCAGGGTGATCACTTATGAATTACCTGAAACCAGTTCCCCTAAAGCTCCAGGTATCTGCTGCCACCCTGGCAAAGCACCAGGTTCCTGCAGGAGCCTTCCCAAACCTACCACTGACTTCACAGCACTTGTTCTACACACATGGCTCCTTCCTAGAGCCCACCTTGACCTTAGCAGGGATAAGAAACCCCTTATACTGAGGGGTGCACTGTCAGTCCATTCTGCAATGACCAGTGGAAATCTGTGTGGCATGACAAAGCCACTTCCCTGCTCACAGCTTCACTGCTCGCCTCTCAGCCCTGCTCCTGCTGGGCAGCATGGCCTCACCATTCCCAGCTGGAGCCGTGTCTCCGCTGACATCACTGAATTCCTGCTGATGTATCGGCCAGGGTCGTGTCCCAACTCACTCACCTCGTCCTGTGCACATCTTGCGTGTCAATTTGCAAAGCTGTAAAAGTCGATAATTGTACATAGATCCACAGTTAAAAAAAAAAAAAAAATGCAGGCGCCCAGGAAATTTGCTTGCCACACAACTCCCTTCAATAGCAGGATGTTCTCGCTGAGCCGACCTAAGCATAACTTATCGCAGAAAATTATCTCATGTGCTGAACAAAAACTTCCCCATTGGAACTTCAACCTTTGCTACTGGCAGCTGGCACACCGTGCCCCGCCTCCCAAGGAGCTCTCCCCCACGGGTATCCTTTGTACTCTTAAGACTGCATGTGATGGATCTCAGCAATTATTTTCACTGTGGGCAAACTTCAGGCAGAGGTGTCAGCAGGGGCTGCTGGCCGCACGCCAAGGGACGCCGCAGCCCTTCCTACCGCTGCCTTGCACCGTGGCCTTTGGGACACAGCCCTCCCTGCCCTGTCGCTTGCCTCCGGGACGGGAGACGGCCTTCCCTGCTGCCGAGCAGAGGGATTTGCTGGGCACTGCGTAGCCAGCAGGCTTTCTAAATGCAGCAATTCTGGCTGCCTCCCACGGGGGATAAGTCAGCCTCGGCGTGATTTACAGACCTTGGCAGGGTCAGGTATAATCTTGGTGTTAATGACTTAGGCATGACACCCAAAGCTTCTAGTCTGGGAACAGTCTTCCGCTTGTCTGGGAGGACATCTCACTACCACTTTGCCAAAGATATGTCAGCTGAGAGTGGTTCTGGTTCTTCCCCGGTATGCTTTGGTCCAGGAAATTCTCACTTCTGCATGGGTATTCCCATCACCTCCAAATGTGGCTGAAAATTTCCCATCCTGAGACAGCTGTGTTCTCAGGAACTGCGACCTCACTTCCCCCGAATTTCAGGGTGGTTGCTCCAAATCTAAGGGGGAATTTCCACTATTTGGAAACTGATTTTTCACACTCCCGCCAGTGCAGCTGCATTCTTGTTTCTGTCCCACAGCTCCCAAATGCTGTCTTTCTATGTTTCTAGAGCGGATTTGTGAAGGGGGCTACCTGTAATCTAAATAGAAAAGCAAAACAACATGAAAAAGCCAGAAATTGCTGCGAGTTGTTGAGGGAAGCAAACTGAAAGGATGAGGTGCTCGGGTTTTTTTGCGGGCAGCATTTTTCGGGAAGCTATCCTCTAGCTGTTGCGCAGAAGTTGGTGGTTTCCCTGGATCTGTCACGGACTACTCACCCTGCGATATCCTGCTTGAGCTGCCGCTGCCTGCTCGGGGCATTAGTGACCATGTTCAGATGGTTCGGACCGAGCGGCAGTGCCTGCATCAAAGCCTCTCAATGCCTGCTGTAGCAACGAGCTCCGCGTAAGCCTAGCAGCGCGAAACATTGGCACAAAGTAACCTCACGGACCCGCTTTTAGGATTTTCCTTCTTCCCCCAGAAAAGCAAAAAAAACCCCCAAACCAAACCAGGGACCGTGGTGGGGTAGCAAGGGGAGCGGATGCCTGCACACCCCCTCACCTGTCCCGGCTCGGCGGCAGGAGGGTCCCGCAGCGCGCTGCCCACCGCCGCCCCCGCGGGCGCTCCGGGCGGGCGGGCGGAGGCGGAGCGGCCGCGGCTCCAATGGGGAGGAGGGGGGCGGGCCGTGCCGTGCCGTGCCGTGCCGAGCCGAGCCGAGCCGTGCCGTACCGTGCCGTGCCGGCTGCCGGAGTCTGACGGGCGCTGCAGGTGGGAGCCCGGCTCCGCGACGGCGCGTAACTTCGCCGGGCCGGGGCTATCCGCGCTAGCTTTCCTTGTGGAGAGAGGCAGGAGCCTCGTCCCTCCCGCAGTGGCGGCGGAGAGCACCTCCCAGGACAGGCTCAGGTGAGGAGCCCCCGCGCCCCTGGCTTCCTCGGCCGCCCTTGCTGCCGCCCTGGCCTGGCTGCCTTCAGCGGGGCCCTTGGGTCGCGATGCGCAGCGGGACAGGCGAGCTGTCCTTGGCTTGAGGTCAGCGGGGAGGGCCGAGGGGCGTGCGCTGCCCCCGCGGGGCGCGCTGCCGCTGCGCATCGCTCCGCGCCGCTGCGCGGGGAGACAGGGAGGGAGGGAGGGCTGGGGCGGCGGGGCTGCGGCGTGGGGGCACATCTTCTCCTCTTTCCATTCCTCTCTCCGCGTTTTTTCTTTTGGCTGTCCCGTGCCCCACTTCCCGGCCGTGGGTCGTTTTGGGTGTCCCCGGGCAGGGTTTGCCCCCGCTCCGGTGGCGGGGCGCACTTGCTGCCGGCGGTGCGGCGCGGGAATGCCGCAGGCGGGGTATAGCTCCTGCCGGACCCTGTCCCTCAGCCGCCCTTCCCGCCTTTCTGCCCTCCGCGGAGCGCAGCATCTCCCGCGGAAGATCCGCCCGGGCGCTGGGACGCGGCGGCGCCCGCAAAGTTCCGGGCGGTGCGCGGCGGGGGCGGGCGCGGGGGCGCGGAGGGGCCGCGCTGCGCTGCGCAAGCCGGAGCGCGGCCGGGGGAGCATCCGCTGGTAAGGGCAGTCGGTGCTGATGGGGCGCTGAAACCCCTTTCTAGGGCTTGGGGCCAGTCCTGATGAAGCCGCAGGGTTTTGCGGGCGGCGGGGTCGGTGCTGCTTTAGCGTAAAAAATGTTTAATAGTGGATATTAATGAGGTGTTCCCCACCTCCCCTCCCCCCTTTTCCCTACCTTTTCGGATGTTTAAAAAAACCCCGAACTATTCAGCTGGCGACATTTACATTTCTGTAGTAACAGCAATTCATTAGAAAAGTGATAGTGGCAGGAAAATTAAAAGTAGTAGTAATGGAGCCCCGGGGGTGGCTGCAGATAGCGCCAAGGGACCGTAACCCCCCCCCGCTCCTCGGCAGTGGACAGCGGCGTGGGGGGAGCCGGGAGCGTTTGGGAGCCTGTGGGAATGCGGGGGGCTGGGAGCACAGGGTGCAATGCAGAACTAGAAGCGCCGAAACTCTGCATTTTGTGCATAGTTCAGTGCTGGGTGGCCATTTTTCTAATCTTTTTCCTGTCAGGCTGTTGGACCCCCAAAATGCTCATTTGGGACTTGAAAAAAACATCCCCTCAGGCTCCCCTACCCTTTTGTTAGGGCTGTTTCGATGCCAAATACTTGTATTTTTGTATTCCAAACGGGTGATCCTTCATCAGGCTTTAAACCACGTTAAGATATAGCTAACCATTTGAGAGGAGGATCTTTTTTCCCCCTTCTCTCTGGAGTTTGAATGTTTGTTCCCCTGTTACTTCCAGGGAAGGATTTAGTCCCTAGTGTGATGGCTGAAATGGTGGCACGCAATTCAGTGTGCTGCCAAATGCTTACCTCCTTTCAGAGTTTGGGATAGGCTCAGGCAGTATTAAAAGCTTGCTAAGAGGATACTGTTATATGGTTTCCTCCATTTTTGGGATCTGTTAGAAGCAATCTAAAAATACTAGATCATCATTCCCCACACTTGTAACTATAAGACTTTCAAAGAACTGTTCTTAGTTATGCACCTTCTATTTCTCTCCCCACCTTTTTTAGCCTTGCAAATTATCAGTCCTGGTACTCAATAGGGAGCTACTCTTGTATCCCTGCTCTTGCAACTTGAAGGCATCACTATTGATTCTGAATTGAGCAGTTTTTAGCATCTAATCCTCATTATAACACAGGGCTGGGTATTTTAACTTGCTGAAGAGATACCCTCTAATGTTCCTAGAAGTACCCAAGCTTTGCCAAGTGCCATAAACGTGTGCAGTTTGTGCAAACTTGTCTAGAAAATGGCTTTTTTTTTTTTTTTTAATTGGGAAACAGATTATCGCTATCTCAGTACTACTTCTGTCCTTCCTGCAGCATTTATTTCAGTGCATGAAGTCCCTTGCTCAAATATTGGTTGCACATTACTGCCCAGAACTAGCTTAGGAAGGCACTTTACTATCTCATGCAACCTTATCTGCCATTCCACAACTTCATAACAAACCCATTGGAACATGAAATGACCTTGGAAAGGTATCTTTCAATCTGACACGAAGCATTCTCTTAACGGGGAACAGCACTGCTCCACAAAGAACTGATGTTTTCAAATTGATGCTTCTAAACTGATTTTATTGTTTTTTTTTAAAGAGGGAAGGGAGATGGTGGAATATTGAATTGGAAAGGAAAATATTTTTTTAAAAACAAACCCACTCAGCTGAAGTTGAAGCACCACTCAGCTTTAGAAGAAGGTTTTAAGAGGAGGTATTAAGAATGTACGTATGATAGTGACACTTAAGTCTAGGGTGAAAACAAGTCTTTAATTTTAATCAAAGGAAAACAGCATTTTCTCTGCCAGTTCTGATTTGCTCATTCATAAGATCTTCAAAAGCCCAAATTATTAGTGGGACTAATTGAAAGCTAGTTGGGTGTGTCAAATGGAGAAAAGAAGTGATGAAGTCAGAAGGAAGCATTACATTTAGTTGTATTGTTCTTGATATCAGAATGTGATGCTTCTATATGGAAAATATTCCAGGACCCTTTCAGTCCCCAAAATGCTACTCCTTTGGAAAGGCTGCAAGAGCACTTGAGAATCAGCAGCAGTCAAGGGGGAGTCTTGCAGCTGTCAGGGGAATTAATGGAGGAGGTGCCTGGCCAGTAAGCTAAACGGGATTGTGGCCCAGATGTCGGACTTGACACATCAGGCCTTGCAAAAGGGCGGTGAGTGCTTTCGTGGCCATGGTGTTTTTACCTCTCATGAAGATGGTGCCTCCTGTAGAGCAGTGCCGAGTCCCAGCCTCGGGAGCTCAGGGTGTGAGTGCCACCTGCTGGGTGATGAGCCACTTTATAGCAATTATACATATGCATGTATGCATTTCTGTTTGCATACATATGCTGTGTTTATGTATGTGTTTATTTGCACACAGGTGTACAGTTTTTCCACAGACATGTTCTTGGGAGAAACTATGAAACCTTGCTAAGACCTGAAGTTGCTCACCTTCTGAGGACTTAGCACAGTTTGTACTTGGTTACTATTTATTACTCAAATGGCACTTGGGCTTTGTATTCTAGGGGTAGAGGGGAAATTTTGATACTGCTGACATTTAATGCTGCCTTTGTTTTACTGAAGGCAACTGGGAATTTTCAGTTGTATAGCTCATGGCTTGTGGTGTGGTAAGCTTTCACAAGCACCTCAAAGGTCAGATAGCAGGCTGGCAAGGTAGACCTGAAATGGAGGCCCAACAAACCAAACTCAACTTTGTGGTGTATCATTTGAATGTAAAATCTTCATGGCATTGCTGATTACATCTTTTTTTCATCTTAACTCACATATGTCCAAAAGATTTATGAGCATCCCTCCTGGATACGAAATGTTGCTTGTCATTTAAATTAACTGAAGACCTATAGAACTTGCAGAATATCGCTGAACTTTTTTTTTTCCATTTTAAAGAATACATTTTTCATATTCACTCTCTAACGCATAGAAGAATAAAATGTAACAGTTTGATTCTGACCTAGAATTGCTACTGAAGATGACACAATAAATCCAAATCTGACATCATTCCCAGCAATGATTTTCCGATTTCCACTAGCTTCCACCTCTCCTAGCCTGCTGCAGCATTGGCTGGAATGATGTTTAAACACCAGTTTGATTCAGCTGGATGCAGAGTGTATCAGTTGCAGCACCAAGGCCTGTAATTGTTCTGTGCTGTACTGACAGCATTAGGGAAAGATGCAGCCCTGGGTACTGGGGCTTTGTTGGACAGCTAACCTCATTAAGGCTTTATTGCTTACTTGTTTTGTGGTGTGCTGCTGCCAGATAAGTCTTTTACCGTGTCTGTGGATTAGGAGTGGTTCCAAGCTGAACTATAAAAGTTTTCAGGAAACTTTCAAATGCTTTCGGCTGGAAAACCTATATTGATATACTCTTGTGATAAATGGATAAAACGCTTCACATGGTTTTGAAAGCATATTCTACCATTTGAGATCTGTACTTTCAAGAGTGTGTAACAGTCAGGAATAAGTTGATGGAGCAAAAAGCAAGTGGTGTAATTTCAGAGTTCATCTTAAAGTGTGATTCTAGCCAAAAAAAAAGCACCTGCCATACCAAGAGGGATTACAAGATAGGCTTTTGAGGAAGGGGACCCAATAATAATGCAGAACTCAAGTTCACTGTCCCCTAAAACGTTCACAGTTAATTTGATGCTTGACAAATTGTGATTTCAGTGTCTGGTGAAGAAGCAATTGACCCTAAAATTGCTGCCTGAAGCTGAACTAACGTTTTCAGTTTCATAACCAGTGTCATGCAAAAATAGTATGTGAAGAGGAACAGGGGAAATGCAGAATGTCTCTCTGGTCTTGCTCTTATGTATCTCTCCTCCCCCTGACCCAAGCAACTGACATGTAGTGTAGGCAGTGGATGCTGCTGCAATGCTCAAGGCAATTTACATCTCATTCATTCATCCATCCCATTATGGCATATTGTGACTTCCCCCCTCACAAACCTTCTGAGCTGATAATGGAAATCTGCCCCTTATAACATGTCAAACTTCAACAACCACCTATGGTTTTCACTCAGAAGTGTATCTGCAGTATTGCCAATGGGCACGCTGCTCTCCTGTCCCCTCACCATTCCAAATAATGCAGTTCAGCAGCTCTCCTGCACGAATTCTGCCAGCTCTGAGTCATCCATACATTTTTGTTTTGTTCCTTCCTTGTGTTTTTGCACACCACATTTCCCGCCATTCCCACCTACTCAACATCTGCTTTCATGTGACCTCTCATATCCTGATAAATTCATTAACGTTAAGCTTGCTCCATGCCACCATCAAAATCTCACTTTCCTTAATATGAAGTCCTGTGTCCAGTCAGGGGACTCAATGGCCTTTACAGTCCTTGGGAGAACCTTGGAGTTCTGTCTGCTCCAGTAAAAATGTTCTCCCAGTAATCTCAGCTTCCCTTGCAGAGGTAAAAGACAGGTAATATCTTGAGGGCAATCTGTAACTACAGTCACACTGACAGTAATGGTGCATGGTTGCAGCTCTGGGGAAGGATTGGGGTACACAAGACTGACAAGAGAAATCAGAAATGAAGGCAAATCTTTTGCAATCTCTTTTACCTTTCCTCTCCAATATTCTTCACATAAAGGCACTGGAAAGGCTCCTATTGTAAAAGCACTCCTACAAAAACAGCAACAACAACAAAAAAAAGTTGTTTGCTAGCAAAGTGGTAAATATGTGAGCAATCATCTTTGTTTTTCTGCAGCCTTTCGGGCTGTCTTATTAATGGGCCGTGAAGGCTGAGGAGGAGGTAACTCATCAGCCATTATCCATGGAGTAGGGGGGAGCTGCAAATTAGTTGCTTGTGTCAGTTTCATTTTCTTTTTTGACACCAACAGATAAATTTGCCTTCATATGGGCATAGCTTCTGCAGAGATCAAATCGAAACCATATCAGGGGCTGTGCTGGTGACTCACTGCCCTCCTGAATTGTCTGGAGATTTATGGAGGTGAAAATGCTGCTCTGGCCTCAGGCCCCTTTGCTGGGACCCAGCAGAAGAGCATTGACTTGTGAGGATGACTGTTCCTGAGAGCGATTGTTTTGGAGAATTTGGATGGCTGACACATGTGAATTGAGAAGACATATCCCAATCTGTTGGAAGAGACTTTGCAATGGCCTTTGGCTTTTTGTTATCTTGTCAGCCTGGGTCTGGTGATCAATCTGATGGTCACAGAGCTGCTGGGAACTGATGACAGCATTTCCTTCTCTGCCTCCTGTCCTTCCACTGCAGGCTTCATCAGTCTCCTTGCCTGCTTGTCTGTGCTCAGGACCTTGTGCACTTGCTGAACTTGCACATGCAATTGATTTCTCTAGTCAAAAGAAGAGCACGCCTTTGTCTACCCTTACATACACACATGCAGTTGTTTAGGTCCACCCATAGCACTTGGCATTTTGTACTGATCTCTTTGAAGCATTTTCTCTCCAAAGGAATAATAATGAAAAAACTCCAACCAAACAGAAGAGCAAAAAAAAAAACCCAAATGCTAAATTGGTCGACTGTTTTGGAACAGTTGCCAAAAGAAATCAATGCTGAGCCTGGGAAAGCTGTAAAATTCTTTCTTGGGTTTTTATTGGTAGGAGAGAAGTGACACACACTGAGTTTGGTCACTCAGACACTGTTCAAAGTCCAAAGTGAAGAAAAAAGTTGTTTCAGCTTGGGTGTTCTTGATGGTTTGCAGATGTGTAACAGTGCGTAGATACTCAGCTGTGGGGTAGGCTGCAGGTCCCCTTAATTGCAAAGAATAAATTACAAATCCCCCATCCTTGACTGAGTATTCTGAAACTGAACAGTCACTGTGGTGACTTTGCCTTACTTCCTTGCCAAATGTTACATCTCCTCATTAAGGATTTCAAAATGTCAGCAGGATAAGAGAAAATATTATACTTTTTGCTATTTGTGATATTGCACACCTGTTACTGCCTGATAGGGGAAGTACAGTAAAGGGCTTGTTTTTTCTTAAAAAGATATTTTACCCCCCTCACAAAATGTTCCTTCTGAGTTCAGCCTTGACAGATCTTTATTAGACTGTATTTATTATTCTTTTATTAACATTGATATTGTGGTATCTTTTATTTCTTTTTAGAGTAAATTGGAAAGTGGGGTATTGTTTATGTTCAGTCCATTTAATGATTTACCTGAAACTGCTTTGTAAGGCAGATTTAACAGAAAGCAGTAGTGTTGTGTTGTTCATTGAATCTCAAGAGGTTTTTTTTTTTCTTCTTTTTCCCTTCGTTTTTCTGCTGATGGCTATGACTGCTGAAACCATGGACATCACAAACTGGATGAATGGCTGCCTCCTGGAATATGGATAATTTTGGTGAGTCTCCAAAATGAGTTTCACTTACTTCTGCTTGCTTGGGAGAAAGAAGAAGAATGTTATGTATTGGAAGTTGTGCTTGATGAAAGTTAAGACTGTTTTTGCAGTGTTGGTTTTGTCAGTGCAACAGGCAAAGCTTACTAAATTTCAAATTATTTTTGATGGAGTGGGTTTTATTTTTCCTTATTCTGTTTTATCACTGGCAAAGATGAAGGAATTAACATGCTCTGGATTAATTTGAAATAGTGTCATGTTATGAGATTGAGTGTTATTGCCTTTGTAATAACTTTTAAATTATTTTTCTGTAAGACATGCTGTGAAGCAACAGCTTAGAACATTTTAATTTTTCTTTTCTGACTTATTCAGTTGTTTCTGCAAATAGTTCAGACAGAAGATTCATTGGCTGGCTCTTTAGAAAAGCTCTGTGTCGTTCTCATTACTGTTCCTAATCCTGGTGTTGCCTGTGGTTGAACTTTTAAGAGATGATGTGTTGATGGTGTATTTGCATTAAATATTGTAGAAGAACTTTCCATGAAAAGGTCTTCCATCCCAAGTAGTCTCTGGTGAGACTTCTTTTTTTTAAATTAAAAAAACTGCAGGGCTCTGTCAGGGTCATACTCTTTCCTTGTGTGCAGACTCCCTGAGGAGGAGGTTTTGGCATTTTGGGCTTTCAGTGAAGGTGACTGGACAGCTGCGGGGAAAACATTTGCTTTGAATATATCAACCTGGAGATCTGCTCCATGAGCATGGTTAGAGGAGGTAGTATTTACCCAGTGTTGTCTGTAGGAGTAAAAAAGCTGCCTCTGAACACTGAGGGGAGGTGGTTGGCAGCTTAGCAGCCTTGGGATTTATCTCGGAGCTATTTAGACCTAGCAGGAGTGACTCGTTACTACTAATAGGTTTAATTAGGGAAAACAACTTGCTTCACCTCTCACTTGTGTGGTGACAATCTCGCTTATGCAGAGCCTTAAGAGGGACAAGACAAATGTGATTTGGGAGTGGGGTTGGCTGCCTGTCCTATCCCAGAATGAGGCGAGTGTTCCTGGTGTGGTGGTGGCCCTGTCCTGGGCAAGACGTGGGAGTGAGCATAGGGCTGGCACTGGCTACTTGCTGACAGATTGTGGCTGAGTTTAGCTGGTACACACCTCTTAGGGGGGAGGGGGGAAGGTTGACATTGGCTCTCTATCCCTCTCCTTTTTCAGTCTCTTGAGTGGGCACAGTCTGCGTCACCTGCATCCTTGCACTGGTGCAAAGAGCCTGAGACCGAAAGATGGACATCGAGCTTAAGGATTTCTGATCAGGGCCAGATTTAGAGAAAATTTGAGATAAAGCCTGATAGTTTACTTTCAAGCATTTCTGAAGTATTGCTGCTTAATCCTTTTTATTGATCCATAGCTTATGCCGGAAAGCTGTTGTCTCAGGGCAATTTCCAGAGTCCTAGAGGATAATAGCATTAATCACATATCATGTGACTGTTCAGGCAGGATGGACATTTGTTGCACTGCTGCATTTATCTTCACTCTTAGTTCTGGTTATGTCTGTTATGCTCAGCTACCTGGCTTAAGAGTGCAGTTAGGAAGCCTTCTGCATGACTGGTACTTGGTAATTTGGGACTGAGTAGCAGTAAGGTCTGTAAGGAGACTGCTGCTTTGGATTGCTGTCCTTTGATGTGCAAAGGAGCCTTGAAGAGCCTGAGAGAGCAATAGCTTCTGGGCCCAGGAAGCAATGCATATTTACTGTGATGGACATACTGCTTAAAACTCTTTGATTCTAAAAACTAGCAGACTGCATTCCTTATAGCTTTGCTCCAGCATGTATCTTGCTTTTTTGGCCTATTTTGTAATCTGCATGAATAATTGGCTCTCATGTTGCACCTATATAAAGAGATGCTTCTTCGATATCTGGAAATGCAGTAATGAGTGCTGAAGTGCTGCCATCACCATGGCACATCAGGGAAAGTTTGATGTGATCACATGGGTAAGCTTTCCACCCAAGTTTTATTCTTAGATTTATTTTTCACTTTCACTCTGATTTGGTTATATTTGAATTTTTGGCAAATGTTGTTAGCAAAGTTAAAATCTGAAACAGCAATCTAAATCACAGAGCAAAGTGTACTTTGCATAAACAGATAAATAGGAGAGCTAAAAGTATAAGGAGTGCTTTCTTTTCACTACAAGAGTGACATCATTGCAAGCTCTTCTCAGTGGTGGAAGGCCAAGAGACAGTGGATACCAGTCGAAATGAGAGAAGTTCACACTGGTTACAAGGGTAAAGTGTTTTCACTCTGAGGACAGACAGCTGGCTAGGGGCACAGGTTGCCTGGGGAGGCCGTGCAGTCTTCATCGTTGGGAATTTTCAGGACCTGACTGAACAAAGCCTTGAGCTGGATCTCACAGCTGGAGCAGAAGCCTGGACCAGAGACCTCATGAGGTTCTTCCTAGCCTGAATTTAGAGGGATCTTTATGCTGGGAAAAAGAGTAAAGCTGGAAGAGTTAAGTGGCACGGTCACAGAGGGTGTTGTGATAAGAGCAAACCAGTGGTGGCTGCTGTAAGATGAACAGGGATGTAGCATCTGGCCAGGCTTGTTCTGGAGTGCTGTCTGGGGATGTGAAGGTTTTTTGCTTTTGGTTTTTAATTGAGCAAAGCAATTAAAACCTGACACTTGCTGCTTCTGAAGAAGCTCTGTGCTCTTTGTTTTATTCCAATGGTAGCTGTATAACTAATCTCTAAAAATTTGGAAGTAATCAGTCGGCTTTTGTTTATATAGGTTAACATACCACTTACCTTGTGGGAAGAGATTTCAGGAGAAGTAAACTCTTCATGCAGAAGACTTCCAGTCTTTCAGGGATTTTTAGTTTAGTTGGGTTTTTTTTTTTAGAGATTGATATTTGGCTATTTGAATTCCTTCAAAAATTGTGTGGGAGTGCAAATAGGAGGCGGATGAAAATCTGTGGGTTGATCAGACTGAATGTGAGCCAGCTCCCCAAAGTGATGTAGGTGCTTATGGCTGGTAATGTGAATCCAAACAGTGCTTCTGTAGAGGGGGAGAAAAGTGGTCAAGGTACTGACACCACCTTGCAGGATGAAATAGATGAACCTGCAAAAAGGAATGTGAATGTGTCAGAGATGACTAGGCTCCTTTGTAGGACCAAAGCACTGCTAATGGTTTACACAAGCCTCCAAGTGTGTTTTCCTCTGTGTTTTTAGGAAGATGGCCTGCAACATTGGACTTAGCCTGGCAAACACTTGAAAGCTTATTTTTTCTTTCTTCTGGAGGGGCATTAGTTTAATTTACAGATTGATTTTCCTCCTTTGAGTTTGGAGGCAATACCAGTGAATGTGGAAAGCAACAGTTAGTAATTCCAAACGAGATTTTAAAAGCTTTTGTTGATTTTTTCACTTTTGAAACCACTATTCCATCTGCTTCCACCCATATACTCAGTGAACTGTCATTATTGCCAGTCATGCCCCAGCTGTGATGGGATGTGGTCAGTGGGTGAGCTCCCAGCAAGGCCAGAGTTCCCTCCCTTTCATGTTCTAAGACTGAAAGCCATCAGAATTATTGCTGTGAGAAACTGAAAAGTATTAGATTTTGGCCTTAATGCTATCTTGTCTGTAACCACTCTGCTCTGTGTGTCTGCACAGTGTTTTCAGAGTTACACTTGTGGAACTGCAATGGCTTTGTGTCCGCTTCCCCTACAGCATTGGACACTACACTGCGTAATTTGCCTTTTCATTTCTTTTATACATATTCAAAGCCTTTGTATTTATTCTTCTCTGTGTTTTTCTGGTAGCTGGTTATTTTCAGCTGTTGCATGGATAATAGTGCTGATGAACAAGTATTTAGTCTGACACATAAAAGCCTAGCCTTAAAGAAAATGAAGCAGGGAAAATTACAGTGGCAAAGGTTCCTAAATTATAGTTGTATAGGAAGATTGTGATAAGGAAGTAGTTAAATATTGCTATTTAGTCAAACCTACAACTGTGGCTGCTACTTCGATTGTCTCCTCCTTTTGCTGACACTTAATTTGTGTGGTTGGTGAGATACTCTTCCTGCTAACAAAGTCCCTGGTTTATTGAACCAGAAGCTTGTACCAGAAGTACATGGGTGTGTTCTCCCAGATGATTTTAGGTCAAGAGTGAAACAATTGCTAATTATTTTCAGATTTACTTGCAAAGGAAATGTTAGGTGCTTGCAATTAGGTGCTTACCCACTGTTAAAAAAATAAATAAACAAAACCAAGACACAAATCAGTCTTCCCATCTGGAAGCAGATACGTGTCCAGTTTAGATATACTGGAAGGCAAACATAATGTAATAGGACTGAACCAGGATATTCACAGACTGGAGTAGCAATGTTTGAGCTGGCTGTGTGCTTGCTACAGCTGCAAAGCTCATTGCTTTTATGGCTGCAGTATGTTTGCTCACAAGCCCCAGCTCTGACAAACAGATGTGATCATCGTCCTGAGCGTGCTCTTTGTGGGGTCGAGCAGTCACTTGTCAGGATGGTGGTGAGTATAAGCCACGATCTCCTAGCAGCACGTCTCATGTTTGAAGAGCTTTGCTTGGTTTTAGAGCATCCCAGCAGTAATCTGCAAGACCCAAAGACCATCTTTCATCCACAAGGATGTATGACCAAGGAAATGTTCTATGTAGGCTTTTCACAGAAATAAGGAGTGAGTAGGGCCCTTTAGGGAAAAAGAAAACTTCCACTGATCATCACAGATTCTGTATTTTCCCTTCTGGAAATAGCCATTAGGATCTATGTTGGTGGTAGGTCATAACTTCCCTTTGTCTCTCCTCCCAGTTCATAAAATGCCCTAAGGCAAGTTGGTTTACTGTGGTTGATTTTGTTTGAACAGGATGGATCACTGTGAGCAAAAGGGAGTTTTCAGTGGTAAAGATACCTTTGTGCTTATCTTAACCTCGATGAAGCCATTACCATAGGTTTGTTAGGAAAGAATGAGCTGAAGGCAGTGGCCTGGACTGAGCAAAGGTTA